TAATTCTCTTTATGCTATACGGGATCAATCCTCGGGGAGCTTAATTGGAGGCGGTGAACGGATAGTTGGACTATATTATTTCCGGCGTCTCCCAAAAGTATGTACACTCCCGGGTCCGGAGATTTCTACATTTGAGTTGTGGCATCGACGTTTGGGGCACCCATCGGAAAAAATTGTCAAATTGCTTCCTTCTATTCGAGGTACTACTGGTACTAAGTGTTTACATAAAACTTGTGAAGTTTGTCCTCTTGCTAAACAGACTCGAGCCAATTTTCCTGATAGTGATAGTCGTGCTAGTTGTATTCTTGAAATGATACATTGTGATTTGTGGGGACCATATAACACGGCTTCTACTTGTGGTGCTCATTATTTCTTGACGATTGTTGATGATTTTTCACGTGGTGTTTGGGTTTATTTATTGAATGACAAAACCGAAGTTTATTCTTCTTTTTGCTCTTTCTTTGCTATGGTTAAGTGTCAATTTGATGTCAATGTTAAGTGTGTGCACAATGACACAGAATTTAAACCCATGATCCCATATTTTACTGAAAATGACATTCTTTTCCAAACCTCTTGTGTTGGCACACCTCAACAAAATGGTCGGGTAGAGCGTAAACACCAACATATATTGAATGTGAGTCGTGCTTTGATGTTTCAAGGTAATTTTCCGATTACTTTTTGGGGTGAGTGTGTCCTTGCGGCGGTTTATTTGATTAATCGTACTCCTTCTACTTTGCTAGCCAATAAAACCCCATATGAAATTCTCTTTGACAAAGAACCCGATTTTGATGCTTTGAGGGTGTTTGGTTGTCTTTGTTTTGCTCATAACCAAAAAGATAAGGGTGACAAATTTGCACCTAGGAGTAGGAAGTGTGTGTTTGTAGGTTATCCTCATGGCAAGAAGGGTTGGAAGTTGTATGATTTGGAAACCGCTGATATTTTTGTTTCCCGTGATGTTAAATTCCATGAGAATGAATTCCCATTTGTGAAAGATGGTGATTCAGTTTCTTCTACTGTGGGTGCCGAGAGTGTGCCTAATGCCTATGTTGGTGTTGATCACGATTTTCTTGATGATTTGGAATATGTATTAGAGGTTGGTGAGGGTTCTCTTGTGCCTGAAAACTCTTCACAACCCCGTGCTACTGCTTCCACCCCCCACGGGTCACCTGAGGCTGCTGTCCATGACCACGACAGTCCCGTGGTGTCCCCTGCCCCCTCTGCTGCCTCCTCGGCCACTAGTACGGGAAGTCTTGATGTGGTTATTCCGAACCCCTCTTCTACTTCTCCTATTGCGTTGGACTGTGCTCAACGTCCAAGGCAACCCCCGGGGTGGCACCGGGATTATGTTGCACACACTATATCTCTACCTAGTTCATCTATCTCGCAATGTTCATCGCCTACTCCATGCTCCTCAGGTACTCCTTACCCCTTAGCACACTTTGTGAATTGTGATAAATTTTCTGTGCAACACCATGTTTTTATTGCAGCTGTTGATACGGTAGTTGAGCCTCGTAACTTCAAGGAGGCAATGCAAAATGAGGGGAGGAAAGCGGCTATGCAAACGAAAATTGATGCATTAGAGAAAAGTGGCACATGGGTAATGGAAAAATTGCCTCCGGGTAAGAAAGCTCTTGGGTGTCGATGGGTTTACTAGGTCAAACTTAATTCTGATGGCACACTCGAGAGATTGAAGGCTCGTCTTGTTATGTTTGGTAATCATCAGGTTGAGGGTATTGATTACAATGAGACGTTTGCTCCCGTTTCTAAAATGGTCACTGTTCGTGCTTTTCTTGTTGTCGCTGCTGCGAAGAATTGGGAATTGCATTAGATGGATGTTCACAATGCATTTCTTCATGGTGATCTTGATGAGGAAGTTTATATGAAGCTTCCCCCTGGGTTTCATGGCTCTCAACCTGGTATGGTGTATCGTCTTCTGAAGTCGTTGTATGGTCTTCGACAAGCACCTCGTTGTTGGTATTCTAAATTGGCCGCCTCTCTAAAAAGGTACGGATTTGTGCAATCGTACTCTGACTATTCTCTTTTTACTCTGCAATCTGGGTCTATACAACTTAGTGTTCTGGTGTATGTTGATGATTTGATAATTTCTGGTAATGATTCTTCTGCGATTTCAACATTCAAGTCATACTTAAGTGACTGTTTTCATATGAAAGATTTGGGTGTTTTGAAGTATTTTCTTGGTGTTAAGGTTGCTTGTAGTCCGGAAGACATATTTTTATATCAACGGAAATATACACTTTACATTATTGCAGAGTCTGGTTTGCTAGGCGCTCGTCCGGCAGGTACTCCTATTGAGCAGAATCATACTCTGGCGAAATCAGAGTCCTCTTTCTTTTCTGATCCAGAGCAGTATCGACGGCTTGTGGGTCGTCTGATTTATTTGTCTTTTACTAGACCGGATTTGGCATACGCGGTGCATATTTTGTCTCAATTTATGGCAACAACTGCGACAGGACCATTGGGAAGCGGCTCTTCGTACAGTGCGGTACTTGAAGGGATGTTCGGGTCAGGGAATCCTTTTGAGTTCAGATTGTGATTTACATATTACAGGTTGGTGTGATTCAGATTGGGAAGGTTGTCCTTGTCGCGCCGTTCTATCTCTGGCTGGTTGGTGTTTCTTGGTGCTTCTCCTATATCTTGGAAGACTAAGAAACAGGACACTGTGGCCAAGTCTTCTTCAGAGGCCGAATTCCGCTCAATGTCTAAAACCACTGATGAGTTGAAATGGTTAAAGGCCCTTCTTCTGAGTTTGGGTGTCTCCCATCCCCGTGCTATGAGTTTGTTTTGTGATAATCAATTTGTTTTGTATATTGCGAAGAATCCGGTTTTCCATGGGCGTACCAAGCACATTGAGGTTGATTGATATTATCTTCGTGATGCGATTCAAGACGGTATCATTAGTCCGTCTTATGTGAAGACAACGGACCAATTAGCGGATATTTTCACCAAGGCTTTGAGTAAAAGTCAATTCATGTATTTACTTGGCAAGTTGGGCATTTGTGATTTGCATGCTCCAACTTGAGGGGGGGTGTTAGGGCCTATAATTAGTGTTTATATTGTATAGTTAACGGACCTATTTCTTGAGCCCTAATCTCTTGTATAAATACTCTACTCTACACTCTAATGAAACAACGGAAAATATTTTTGTGACATTATTTGTAAAAGAATTTTTTCTTATAAATAAATGTAGTCATACTAATATGGCTGGCTGACCACATGGGTATTTTGAGGGTAAAAGAGGTCAGACTTGCTAAAATTATAATTTTGCCATTTTCTTTTATTTTAGGTATTCTGAATCAATATTTCCTAACAAGGTAAAATCTCTATAACCAAGCATTCAAGTGTACCCCACCAATTTTCTTTTGGTGCTCAAAAACTTCAGCTCAATTCTATCAACCATCCAAATATCATCTTACCTTATCCAAACCCACCTTCACCACACTCTTCATTACTTAGGCCACTCCATCATTTCCTCCATTTTTTGCATCATCTCTCAATCTGACACAAAAAAAGGTCTGTTTATTACCATAAACCCAACCTCATTAAATTGTTATTTTTAATGATGTATAGTTTATTAACCAAATAATTAGCTTATCTTAAGTTTTCATTGTATTGATTCTTTTTCTTGTTACTTCATAATATTTGTATTCAGTTCTTGCAATAATATATAAGTTTAATTCCTGTTTTCAGATCAAGGGGCTAGCTAAAAATGGCAACAGCAGCAGCATCAACAACTTTCTCCTCGGCAGCAGTTCCGGCTGCTGCTACAATATCAGGCAGCAGGGCTCAGAGAAAGATGAACAAGGTGGTCTACATGAGTGGACTTAACTCCTACGGTGGTCTCAAGGCGAACAACACCGTGCTCGGTCTTGGTCAGGCAGTCTGCACCGAGCAGTGCTTTGCCAACGTTGTGAGCTCATTGAGGAGTACTTCAAGCAAGAAAGGAAGATCAGGTGGTGCTTTGACTTCTACCTGCAATGCTGCAGCTGAGATTTTCAGGATTGCCGCTATTATGAATGGACTTACACTCGTTGGTGTTGCTGTTGGTTTTGTGCTTCTGCGAATCGAGGCTTCCGTAGAGGAAGCTGAGTAATTTTTATTCCATAATTCAACTTTGAATGTAGCTATATAAAATTGTACCTTTACCCCCCTCAATCTCATGAATTGGGAACTGGTGTTCAATTTGTAAGTTCAATTACAAACCTCAAACTCCCACATTATTTTTCCTTCATATAGCGTTACATTTTCCTTTTGAGAGTTTTATTCTTTCAGGTAATTATGTCTAGGCAATTTGTTTTATCATTCACCAGTCTTTCGAATGTTGCTGTATTCTTCGAAAATTTCCAATTCTTTGCAGAGGTTATATTCTAACTGAAGAATATGTCTTGCTTTCATTGCCTTACTAGTTCACCTCAAAACACTTTAGTAAACCGCCTTAGAATTGCCAATGGCTGAGAGTCGATCATCAGCTAGTATGACCGGCGAATCAACCAATTTCCTATCCAATCCTTCAGTAAATGGTCATTGAATCACTTACCACTTACCAGTTACCAACCAAATTTTAACCATAACGTAGAGGCAATTGAGACTTTAAATGTCACACCTGACAGTTTGTAAGCATAGTATCACAATAATTAAGAGCAGATTGATGCCACTTATAACAAGCGTGATAACACCAAATTACACTGTTCATCTGTTTATACATAAATTTTTGTTAGGGACATTAACAGTATCCGTTCATTGCATTGTTCTGTAAATGTCCTCACCTGAGTACCTGACAAAGTGACAATGAAGCTGAGTATCCGCGTCATTTCAACTTTCAAGTATAATTCAATTATGATACTGCATATATTGATTCAATTGGCAAACCCCTCCCAGCAGGCTGGAGGCAATAAAATAATGCTCATTTAGTGCGCCCTCATTCGGCCACAAATGTCTCGGATTCAAGATACAACTCACAGCCTACTTAGAAGTATGATGCTGATCAGGCTGGTAGCCTGGTAAAACGCAATGCACAGTTCTGCAATAGAGATCTCAGAGCCAGATACAAGTCACTACGTCGAAGAAAAAACAAAATAAATTACACCAATTGAATTAAACATTATGCCTCCTTAATGGGCTGATTAAACATTAAGCTGAGTACCATTTCTACTGAATCAGTTCCAAATACATTGTGTATATTTCTGTTACAAAATCTTTCAAACACCAAATGCTTTTATAAAAAAGGCCCATTGATCTTCCATCTTTAAACAAATGTCTCATCCTGAACGGAGCTTCCAATCGCTGAAAAGAGCTTAGTGGCAGCAGGGACCAAGTAAAATTGCTACCAAGCCAATGTGATAAAAAAGCACCAAAACTAAAATAGGGTACATATCAAAGGCTTGTCTTTTTAAAATCAGTTCCCCTGGCTGAATCATGGTATCACCAACTGGGTAGAATAATTGGTATCTGAGCATCATCAAAACGATGGTCTTTGACATGCTGCAAAGAGTTGCCAGCTAATAAAAGCAATCACCAAAGAAGTGACCAGCTGAAAGCCAACAACTTCTGGGAATTTCCATCCCATACCTCGACGCAAATAACTGAAATTCAGTGTAGTAAAATACAAAAGAGTTAGCATATCACTGAAAAGTTATAGCATCAACATGGCAGTAGTCAGCAAGCTTCAGCAATATAAGGATTTTTGCGATCTACATTAGCATGAGTTTCTGATTTTTTTTAAAGCACTACATGAAAAAGAATGTTGAAATGTAGTCTACACAGGCTAATGGAAACTAGGCTTCTGATTCATCACAAGTGATGTACAAGAAAACTCAAAAGTGTTATGCTTCTAGGAAGTCCATTGATCTCGAATTTAACATCACTATAAACATAAGGCTTTCAAGCGGAGTTATATGTAGAATCAAAGCCTAGGATGCTTTGGGAGCCACCTGCTAATCTGCTATTTCATACTCATTCTGCAGTATCCTGATTTTTGTATTAATAGTTTACTGCATGATCTTTGTATAAATGTTGCTTCTTCCTGAGCTAACTCCACCACTTAGTATTGGGAGTCAACCTTGTTTTAATATAAGGTTCTTAGGGTTGCAAACATTGGAACAATAAGTCTTTTTTTTTTATTGATTTCAAAGTTTGTTATGAAAGCATTTCAATGGATAGAAATGCGATTATCTCCCAAACATTTTAGGTGATTAATATGGAATAGGTGGTGTAAAAGTTGTTGCAGCGAGATAGATTAATGCCATATGACGCACTTTTGAAATCTATAGAAAGTATATGAAACAAACCTTGTGATAGATGGCATGGTGGCCACTATCCCAGCACACAAGTATATTATAGGTATCAGTGTCTTTGGCTTGTTTTTCCTGAGCCACATCAAGGACCCTAATGCAGCCAGAGAGATGCACAACACCTGAAGAAGAATTGTAAATCAGCATAGAAATGATGGTGAAAAGCAGAGAAAAGCAATGAAAGGTCATTTCAATAGAAAATCCTCCACAACACTGCCCCTTTTTGTCGACCACTTCAACCTCTCCGCTATCAGTCTTCTCAGATTTTCCAAGACCAATATGACACCACTGTATTCCCAAACCAATGAAGGGCATTGTACTGTTCCTTAAAGTTATTTAGAATAATGAACATGGCACTTGTCACGGAATGAATGATTGATTTCTATTTCAAAATCCATGGGATAAAGAAGCTTATAATTTAATCTAAACTTTTGCAATGCATGTATTTCAACGTAAAAAAATTGAAATTATACCAGATTAGCATTTGCTTCAAGACCCTGCAGGACGTAATCCCATGTGAATTCCAATCCTCTAGCACCCACCCAAAGAGGCGCTAACCTATGCAAAACAGCATCTGCAAAAGCCCAGCCTGCAGGTTGAACGAAGTAACCAATCAAAAACCAAAAGCAGATGTTGAATCCAAATATCAAATGTATCACCAGCCACAATAAAAACAACAGAAGTACTGCTATGCAATGCTACATCCGCTACAGGAAAGTTACACAATCAGGACATTAACAGCATTTTCAGTTACACAATAAGAAATCCCATAACCACTGTATATTATAGGCCGAATATCAGCTTGGGAAACTAGGTTTTTTGGGACCTTAGATGCTAAATATAGGGATATAATTTTCCCCATATCCTCTGGAAATCGTAAAATATTACGAGTCTGACACAAATGGACAGCTTCAATAGACTGCAGAGGATGACCACAACACAATGACAGTATTTTAACAGGTACCTGGACAGTCAGCCAGATTGCTATGGCTAACTATTTGGACTGAATATGGCAACTCTAATTATTAGTAGGATATCCATTCTTTAACAATTACAACTAACAAGTTCAAATTGTTTCATTTGGAAAAGCCAACTGCTGAGCTGGTTAAGCTAACTTTTCATCTTAAAAATTGTAGTTAAGTAGTCCTGCTAGCAGCAACCAATCGCCTGGTTAAAGTCTTGCTCTCTTTGAACTTGTAATGGAAAACTATATGAATCTATATATGTCCAACCTCAATCCTAACAATTAACCAATTCAGAGAGACTATCATAAAATTATAATTTTACTAGCCATGAAAATGACAAGGAAGCCATTCAGACAGGCTTCATATCAGATTTCACCATATTCAAATGATAAATATGACTAATATTGGAGCTAAAACCTTGAGATAGCTGATAAGGTTGCATTTAGCATGTATAGCAACTTTTGGCCTACACATGTCTTATTTTCTATGTTACTCGGACTCTTCATTTCATTTCAAGTAACCATGTCAAACCCTCAACACTTGGACATGGATATGACACTTGGACACTTCATTTTTAGTTCACAATCATGGAATGTTTTCACAAAAATAGCCAAGTCAGACGCTTGGGCACGTATGTATATCGGACATGGCTACCTTGTCTACCTTGCCCAAGTAACAAAGCTTATATTGCTACCAATCAATCAACTCTTGTAAGACCATGTGATTGGAGGTTTCATCCCAGATCCTCCAAGAATTCTTTGTCAACAAAAAAACTTATAGATACCTCATTTGAGAACACACTAGCTCTTTCCAGTTCGTAATAGACAAACTTCAGTGATGATCTCTCCTTCAAAGCAATCTCTATTGTCTCCTCTTACCAGAGCGATAAGAATAATTTATAACTATATTTTAGGCCATTTTAACATCACATCACCACAATCCACTTCTATCTTCATTTTTATTTAGTTTCTACCTCTTAAAATTCGATAGCTAAAACAACAATTTATTTCTTTCTTTGTATTTTAACTATTCTTTTAGTAGTTTTTGCGCCATTTCTTTATATTTATTTCATAGCATATATAAAGTTTTCATAATTAATTGCACTTTCACAAGACCTCAAGGCCACACATAATCTCACACCTCTTCTCACGCTTGTTCTGCCACACCAAGACTTGAAGTCACCAATGGGAAAATCAAGTTCACTTAAGAAAAGGCCATTAATAGAAACCGAAAGTCGGTGGTCCGATTAGTTGGATGATCCTCTTTGGGCCTATAGAGCGGCATTCAAGAAAACCCTAAAAGATTATCTATGGGAAGGAGTGCCACTTGCCCTTAAGATTGGAACACAAAGCTTAGGACATCAAGACCTTGTATTTGGCCTCAAAAGTGACCGTGAACAACATATACTGGACTTACATGAGTTGGAGGAGCTACAGCATAAATTTGTATGATTTGGCAAGCTTACAAAGGAATCGCATGACAAACACATACTTAGAAAGGATTTCCAAGCGGGCGACAGAATTCCTCATTCAATTCAAGACTCAAGCTTTTCAGAGTCCCAATGGAGTGGTCCTCTCTATATGGTAAAAGTGTATTCTCATGGGTCAGTAAAAATTTGGTCTAATGAGTCAAACAGTCGTCATTTGAAGCTATATCAGAAAGAATCCCTTGTAAAAATTTTGCATCATCACCCTCAAGGATGCAAGCTTTCCTTTCTAATTGGTTTGATAGCATGACAATATCGAGTTGACGAATACAAACAAGCAGTTCTAGGCAACCCAATTTTCATATCCTTTCACTACATCTCATATCTTTCTTGTTTGGTAATTTGCTTGTGTCAATTTTAAGATGAATTGAGCTTAAGGTTCCAGGGTGAAACTTTTTTGAAGAATCAAGAGCCTTTGGTTTGGGAAACAAGCAATTTATTTTTGCTAAGAAACAAAGCCAAGCAAAAAAGGGGCGAGTAATTACCCACTGGGTGTAATTCACAAGAAAAGGGAATTTGTTAAAAAAATGAGACCTGAGGGGCAAAGGGCAGGAAATGCAAAAGCCGAGGGAAAAAAAAAAGGGTATGAACCCCTTGTTTCATTTTCACCCAAACCTTCAACAATCTCTCTAAAAATACCTCCTCGCTAAACCTTCCGTCCAAACATTGTAAACCTCAAATTTCTTATCAAAATCCCTTACAAAACTTGATTCCCCACATCATTCTCACAATCCTACCATAATAATAACATTTTTTTTTTCATAAAAAAAAGGAAAAAAAGAACCTCCATCTCCACTTTCCATCTAAGTTATGGCTTCTATTTTAAAAGGTTTTAGGAAAATTTTGACATCCCAAACAACTTATGGAGGAAAGTGAGTAAATTGAAGAGCAATCCTATTGAGAATTCAAATTATTACTTGTGGAAAGTGAATAAATAAAATAATGTGGAAAAGAAGTGATATTCATCAAAGGAGTCATTACAACCATGCCACAATCAAGAGGAGTTCTCCACGAAGCCTAGTACCCAAATTAGTTTTGTAGTCCTAACTAATCACCCATTATTTTTGCTAAGGAGGAACAAAGAGAGAGATTTTCTCATTGATCCTCCCTTTCCTCCACGAGTTGTTTGTGATCCCAATATTTTCTTAAAACATCGTGATTTTCTTAATACCCTAACTATGGTAGGTAATGGGGATGGTGGTTAAATTTAGGTATTTATCATTTGCAATGTAATTTTGTGTTAAAACCCAACGACCTAATTTCTGCCCAATCATAGGATCCCACACACCTGATTTTCTACCCAAAAAAGGTGGGTAATAAAGGCTTAACTTGGGGTAGGATTTGAGAGGAAAGAGCAATCACATTGGTTTTTAAGCCTAAGGAAGTTAAGATAGCAGGTTCAAAGAACAAGACGATTTCCATTTTATCTAAAATCTGATAGTACTACAGTAACAATATACTCCAATATTTTATTTTCTAAAAGGGTTGCTCTCCAATAATTTAAATTTTATTTTCACTTAGCTTGGAGATTTTTCCTTCTATCATCAGCTTCTAACTGTAATTCAAAGTATCAAACTTTATTAAGTCATTTATAATCCCCTTCATTCCCTGATAAATTTTAAATTTGAGAGACTGTAGCCTCTAAAATGTTCTTTTATATCCAAAGCCAATAAGCACCGATAAGGGATGGATCTAAATTCCACATATAAGAACAATTATGCATTTACAAGGTGAATAAAAATAGATGCTCAAAGCAGGATGAACCCCTTCCTCACATATTTCCAATGCATCAGTACATGTTGATCAAACACATGTATGAGTAGAGTATGGGTACGTATCCAAGATCCAGAATTGTCAAGGTTAAAGATTTCAATAAGACAATGTTTTAAGACAGGGCACAATTCAAAAGATATAGCATTTATTAGACTGTGCTTTAAATAAATTAGCCCCGTTCGAATGACTATCACATGGATCTTGCCACTATTTTGTGATCTTTACCATCCTTGAGAACAATAAAAACTCCCTAGGATACAATTCTGCAAATAATTAATTCTGTTTATTGTTTCAGAAGTAAATAAGCCAAAATATTGATCTGTATTATCCTCAGATCCAATGATACAAGGAACGAAATTCGATACGAAACGCGGGACGGAAACGGAAACGGGAAACGCTACATTGAGTGAATCGGGAACGTTGGGTGTAGTTTAATATATATATATATATATAATAATCTGAAAGGACCTTTTACAAGCAAATGTCACTGGTGTGTTATTAGGTTGCTAATCTAAGTCATCTCTCCACTTCATTTCCTCAAGTCCAAGTGTTGAACTTTCTAGAATTGAAGTCTCTGGATTAATGTCCCATTTTCTAAAAGGACCTTCTTTGTAGTAGCTTGTAAAACGAGAAATTAGCCTAATATTGCAGTGAATAAAAACCAACTTGTCAGCTCTAACAGAATTTAGTCGGTTTCGTTTGGCATTGTGAATAAATGAGTATGTGCTCCACACCCTCTCTGCAGAAGAACTACTAATGGGCTGTGACAAAACTTTAATGGCAATTTCAGCTAATTCGGGTGCCTCCGATCCATAAGTGGACCACCAAGAAATAGGAGACATTGTTACAGCATCAATTTTGGCAGCAAGTGACCCAAAAATACCTTCCTTAGCTTGGAATTTAGCCAACTGTTCACGGAGTAGTCTTTTTTCTTCTTCACTCTCCCCTATTTTATCAAATGCCTTTAAAACACCATCAACAACTTCTCTGTCAAAATTTGGTGCTCTCCTAGCCTCCCCTCCCGGAGCCGGAGTTTCCAAGTACTTTGCATCATAAAAAAAGGGTTTAGTGCAAATCCTAAGCAATGCATGGGAATGTTCATTTTTTTCCCATCTTGATAACAAGATCTCACTCATTTTGTCACTGTCATCTTTATGCTTGTTTTCTTTCATTACATCTCCTATCTCCCCAATCATACAATCCATCTTTTCATAAACCTCACCCATCTTTTGCCCTTCACCATCAGCAAATTTAATCATCAAATAAATTGGCTTTGTGATTACCAAAATATTATCAACTTCCTCCCAAAAACCTTCATCACTAATAGTGGCAGCAACTTCTTTCCCTAACGCTCTTGTTTTTTCATCCCCCGAAGTAATCCAATCTTTCCAAGCCCGCATGACTATAGTAGTTGCTAATGATTCTCTACATTGCGATAGTCTTTTCAACAACAAATAATGAGAACCAAACCTAGTTTTTGCTACTTTCAGTAATTCCAGTCCAGATTGTGATTTAAAAATGGCATGAGCATGAGTATGATTTAAAAAATACTTCACAATATTTTTCCCTTTAACATAAGTTTCACTAACCCATGGAAAAGCAGTAGCAATGTCTTTAAAAATAAGATTGAGTGTATGCACCACACAAGGGGACCAAAAAATGTGCGTATGTACCTTCTCGATTTCTTTTCCAGCAGCTTTGCAATTGGCTGCATTGTCAGCGATAACTTGCAAGACATTTGACGGCCCAACTTCTTCAATTGCAGTAAGTAGATAGTCAGCTATGGCCTTTCCTGTTTTTTCCACCCCCGTGAAGTCGTCCGCGTATAGAAACATAGAACCACGACTAATTGGATGCAACCACGTTAATTAGTGGTTCACGCTTCACATTTGTCCATCCATCTGAAATGATTGAAGTTCCTTGTGTAGCCCAAGTGTCTTTAATTGGAGCTAATTCCTTCTCCACATCCCGCTTGACTTCATCAAGTAAGGATGTTCTAGCTCTATCAGCCGATAGAGGCTTGTAGTCCTTGGGAGCATGAGTCAAGGCTTTTGTCATATAAGAAAATTCTGGACTTCTTAGTACATTGAATGGAATTCCATTAGCACAAAGAAAACGAACTATTGCTTTGTCAACCTCATTACGTTCAACCATACCAAACGCATCTTCTATGGGAGTTTTATTAGTTCCCGGAACTTTATTTTTTATTGTAGATTTAGATAATGATGGGGAGATACCTGTCAACTCAACCTCCTCAACTTTCTTTCTTATGCTTTGAAGTAGTACTCTATTTGATAGCATCACAGTACATCGACCAATCTTTGGTTTTTTCCCAACTTGAGCACCAAAAAAATGTTGGTGTACTCTTGTGTATGAGCTTCTGTATGTTTTCTTGCAATGGTTGCAAGACCACCTTTTCGTTCCTCCAGCATTTTTCCCTTTCTCTCCCTGAATTGGTGTAATTTCAGCTAATAGAGGTTTTTGCTTAATCTCGGAAGAAACTCGTTGATTTGGTTGATCTTCTGTATCTAACACCTCTTCCCCTTGAGGAATTTCAGTTTCCAAATCATTGTACTCTTCAGGTGAAGGTTGATTTTGTGGTTGATTTCTTTGTGAAGTTTCAATGGAAACTCTTTGTTTGGATCTATTTTTGCCAAATGCCATTTTTTGTACCTAATTTTTTTGATAATAATGATTGGTTGGAACCGTAGGAATGGAGATGTGTTTTGTATACTAAAGTAGACATTGAATTTATAGAATTGTAGAATTTGGGAAGATGGAGTTTGGATGTCGTTTGAACTTCAAGCTCTACAATAAATGAAAAGAATGCTTTGGCCTTTCGGAAAGAAGATCAGAATGAATTCATTAATTGAATGCACCTCTTCCTATTTCTTCTTATTTCCTTTTTGTTTTTTTTCCCCTAGTATTATAGGTGTATGACGTGTATCACTTTTTTGATATTTTTATCAAAAAATGGACAATCCAATTTATGTGTCGTATGATCATGTTTGCAACCGATCTACTATCTCCGGTACATATTATGTATGATCGTATAAATTATAATCAAACCGCGAATTGGAACGAGCAAACCAATTACGTACAATATATAATGTATATAATCTAATCCTTTTTTTATCGATCATTCTTACTATGATCCTATTACGTACAATAATATAAGGTATCATAGTGTAGGATCATATCCTAGTTGATCGATTAGTCATAGTATGATATAACCTATATGTGATCCAATTTATCTAATCCTTTTTGATCGATCATTCTTACCATGATCCTATTACGTACAACTAATTAATGTATCATAGTGTAGGATCATATCCTAGTTAAGTTGATCAATTAGTCGTATTATGATATAACGTATATATCATCCAATCCCTTTTTGATTGATCATTCGTACCATGATCGTATTACGTACAATTTATAAAATGTATCATAGTATATACGATCTAATCCTTTTTTATCGATCTATAGCATGATCCTATTATTATTCAGATTATGGTCATTAAACGTAAACGCAATCATAGTATGTACACTCTAATTTACGTGTTATATTATGAAATTTTTTTTGACCGGTCAATCATAGTCGAGGTTAAGTGGAATTCTTGTCTCTTAGCCCTCTATAATACAATCATATTATTTTTGATCGTTTATTCAAATTACTATGTATACGTAATCATTAAATTAAATTAGTATTCTTTTTTATCTATTATTCGTAGTTTATATAATTATATTTTGTAATTATTATATTATTTGTTAGACTAATCACTTGGTAACTCATAATCTCATATAAACTTAGCATCTTTGCTGCCAAAATCCCGTAAAAAATAGTTAAAACATTAATCACTTGCAAGTTGTCCTTTTCAGTTTTCAAGACTTCAAGTTCCCAATAAGCTAGTGTAATGAGTAGGAGACTTAGAGACTAATGACATTAGTAAAGTTTAGCACAAAAAAAATGACATAGTAAAAACTCAGTAAACTAAAAAAAGGTGTAAATAATAACTTTATATGAATATATATTCCTATTTCCTATACTGAGGGCCCCAATATAGTAAGAAGTTCAAAAAGAAGTTTTGTCTCATGCGTAATCATAGAATAAAAATGTGGTATCGGTCGCGATCGCTGAAACGGTCGCGGTGTCACGGTATCGGAAATGATGCGTTGATCGCGGACCATGTTGCGGTCATCGCGGTAGAATTTTTATTTTAGAGTTATTTAAGAAAAAATATTTTTAGATAATTTATTTGTATTTTTAAATAGATTTTTTGTTATTCAATATACTTAGATTAAATTTATCATTAAATAAAAAGTTGTATAGTAGTATAGTACGGAGTTCATAGTAATTATATAGTGGAGTAACAATTCTCAAGAAAAAAATAAAAGTAAAAAGGAGAGGATGTGTTGTCAAAAAGTCAAATATATTATTTAATAAAACTAAAGTGGAGAGCATCCACACAGGTGTCCACCTCCTTTTAATTAATAACAGTTGTCCCACTTAAAAATTGCATCGTTCTTCTCAGTTTTTCACTTTCAACTTCGCTCTCTATTTCTCTATCACGCGCGGTTGCTATACGCCGGAAACAATGGATTCTGCCACAAAAATCCAACCACCACTCACGAATTCAAGCTTTTTCTGGGCGTTTCAACTTTATAGCGGCTGTATCATCTTCAATATAGAGAGCGAACAGTTGTATCATCTTCAACCTCGCGAACTCGCCATTATCAAAGTATCAAACACTGTAACCCTTCAATTTTTGCCGCTATTGACTCAGAAATTCGACCTTGCTGAAGAAGAAAAAGGGAACGCTTCGACTACGAATTGAGTCGCGAACCCTAGCGATTTGGGTCGCGTTCGTTCCGCGATTCGGTACGAACGACTCAGATCGCGATTCGCCTCAACGTCCCGCGTTCCCTGTATCACTGCTCATATCAATAATTTGGCTTATTTTGTTTATTGTTTCAGAAGTACTACATAAATTCTAGGGTTTAGCCTAAACCTAATCACTGTGTAATCCATACTATCCTCAAGATCAATTGAAAAAGTTTAACTCATTATTAGTGACCCATGTACAATCTATGTTCTTGTTTGTTGATGGGATTTGTGATTCAAGATGTTTTTTTATATCTATGTACAATCTATTTTTACACATTTGTGGACAAATGTGGGATTTGTGATTCAAGATGTTTATATGTCGGGTAAAAAATCCATACCCAAGTGAAAGTCCTATATTTAATGTAGGCTCCAACATTACTATTTGTTAAATCAATACACAGCTTTACTACATCTTTTAGATCAAAGAATTATTGAGAAAGCTGAAGCAAAAACTATATAAATCGAAACATTATCTGCCAATAAAATCAGTAAAAAGCATCTAACACAAAGGTCTTCTAATACTAAGAAGATATTCTATTAACTATAAATATCTTATTTAAAGTTATAGAGCACACAATATTGACAGATAGAATTATAGTACAGTGTGATATAACTAACCAAGACCGACAGCTTGAAATTTGTGATTTTGAGAGATGTTCCTGTGTGTTAGTTGAGTCAACGCAAAGTATAGACCAGCAACATCAATAAAACCGATTGAAGCCTTTAATAGCTCCTGAAAAATAAATGCAAAAGTAGTTAGCTTTCTATATCAAACTTAGATCTAATACCGATTGGAACTTTCTGTAAAATGCAGAGATCTAAGATTTGGTGTCCAGATTTCAGAAACTAAATATCCAAGTTGATTATCTTTGCAGTAGCAGAGTAGATTTTAAAATTAATAAACATCAATTCACCAGTAGTTTTTAATTAATATCATACACAGTTACAATTGTTGACAGTACTTGCATTAAGAAAATTAGAGGAAAAGGAAGAGAAGAAAAAAGAAGACATTCATCCTCCCTTGGTAGGACAGAGGGGAGGGAAGGGAAGGGGAATGGAAGGATTCATTTTCCTTCCCTCTTTGGTAAACCAAATGCTTCCAATACTGGAAAGATTTGGAGGGAAAATATAATCTTACCTTTTCCCTCCCCCTTCTTCTTCCTTCCCTTTCCCTTCCACTTTGCTTTTCAAACAAACCAATACACTTCCTAAGATACATTTGCCACCTTAAACTCTATTCAATATGTAATCAGAAAAACTCAAAAATAATAGAATCTCCTAAATTAAATCCTTGCAAGATTAAATTCCTGTTTTTAGTACCCAATTGGGCTTAAATCCTCGTCTTTCAATGATTTTAGTGGAGATATAGATTAAACAGGATTCTTCATTAATTTGTTTGATTGAAGTGGGAATTTAAGAGGATGAGATTAGTAACAAAAGGGCAGAGGAGGGGGTAGGTCAACAGAGAAAGGGAAATGTCTTGGAAAATGAAAACTAAAAGACATAACAAGAAAAACATCAAGCTATATGATGGAATCTCTTAAGTTGGTAGCAATAAAGTTATTAATATAAGTTTTTAAAAAATCACAAAGAATACATAATACATTCATTGTTTCATGTATAACTGCAAAACATGTTACATTATTAATATACATGAATCTCGTTAATCAATAAAAAGTTAGAAAAAAAGAAATATATTTAAAAGCTTGAATGCAATCAACAAACCCAACAAACAAATAAAATTATTGGTGTTCTTTCCCTCTACTTTCTTGTATCCCAAACTATATTTCTATTGCATAAATAAGTGTGCCTCAAATAAATACAAAGTAGAGAGGGGCACAACTCTGCACAAGTATTTTCATTAAATTCTTAAACTTATGGAAGAATAAGGCAGAGCATACCTGATATGGATCAAAGTTTTCGCTATCTGATACCTTCAGAAATGTTGCCAAACATACAAGCTGCCAAGTCATAGAAAGCATTAATAATCAAGAACAATAAATAAAATCACAAATACCCTAGTAAGAGAAACTGCTACTGGTTATGTTAACAAACCTTCACCAAAGCTGCCACGAGATAAACAATAGCAGTCTTGACAGAAGTTCCAAATGTGTCGTACTCAGATCTATTAAAAACAGCAACACCCTAGAATAAATACAAGATCCAACCACAGCAACCTTTCTGGATAAAAATACTTAAACCCAGTTCAAATTGCTTATATAGTTTAGCATGCTTGACAGATAATATAAAATGAACTAACAACAAACTAATGACTTCTGATTTCCGACAAAAGCTGTTCTAAAGCACTTGAAATTGCCATGATATTTTATTTGCCCTATATTCCAGCATATCATATAACCACTAAGCTTATCATAACCAAAAATGCTATAGTAAGGGTGTCAACTATTTACCAATTTATACGGATAATAACACCTCTTTTGGGCTACTTTTTATATGCCCTTACAGAAATCAGATTCCAGTTTAAGAAAAAGCATGTTTTGCCATTTGCAACTCAGATTCAATCAACCACTAAAGCAATCTGGCCAGCATGAAACTAAAAAATTACACATTCATGATCTAAAGCACAAAGTTGTTCCAACACTTTACGAATTTGGAATTCCAATTTCCACATCAGCGCTCTTATCTGATTCTCATAGATAGTATCAGCCAACACGCACAGCTCTAATACATTGTGGTATGGAACTGAAATCTCATTAGATCCTAGAATATTTTTTTCAATTCCATTTTAGGAATGACACACCCGCCAGTTTTAAATACATCTCTCTTCCCAATAACAAATTATATAATCCCTGCACCCTCTCTCGTTCAAAAAAAAAAAATTAATAAACAAACCCATAACCACTAGGTGTAATCTACTTTTTCAATGAAACAACAATTGACAATCAGACTATAAACAACCTTTTATCACCTAAAATTTTGTACAAAGATGAGAGTCAACATGTTTATGGGACGTAGGAAGTGCTATGTTAGTTAAATCAGTCACATAAACTTGTGTATAACTTCTAGTAATAAAACCCTTGAACAAAGACTATCCACAATAGCTCAAATTTGCAAAGCCAGTTACCAAGACTTGTCATTCATCCATGACTTGGAAATGCAAAGCAGTGGAATACATTATGTCAAACATTGTTTTATGGTTCATTACCTCAGCATAGAGGAATGTGAAACCTAAAGAAGTCAATCTGAAATTGCTCATAACTACTCGTATATAACAACTTATCGTATATACTAGTGTAATTACCAAACTAGGGGTATGAGAACGAGTACAGGAACTCAACTCGCTATCTGTTAAATATGTCCAAAAGAGTACACTCAGAAAACAATTCGATGGGGTTTAGCGAATTAAGTAACACATTAATAGCCAACAACAAAACATAAATTGAAAACAAAATCTTCTACAAAGAAACCCTTGATTGAGCAAATTCATACTGAAGTGTATGTTGACCAACAAGAATGCAATTCGACCAAATTTTTTATTTTTATTTTTCAATTCTAATAAGGGTTTAGGTCAACCGATCAAATGTGTTACATATTAGCAGATCCACAACTTTAAACAAAGCTAATGCAAATACAGATTATACGAAAAACAAAATTTATACAATGCTAATTTTTGTAACAAATCATAAAAAATACAAGTCAAATTTGATAGCAAAAGAGATGATAAATTTATCTAAGATCTAGGATTGCAAAGTATATATGATCCAGAAAAGAATTGACTGAGAAGATAAAGAAATAATTATGGTTAGGGATGAATTGGACTTACAAAGGAGTGGCGGAATAATAAACGAAGTGAGGACCGAATGTCAAGATCGCACAATTGAAAAAATGAAACATCGTCATCTTTCTCAAACTTTTTTCTCTCTCAATCTCTCACTATCGGTCTGTAATATGTACTCCAGAGAAGAAGATGGAATGGAAGTAAGGTTTTTTTATTTTTCAGATTTTACCATACAAAAATAACCTACTTTTTAAACCATCTATCATTAAAAAAAATAAAAAATAAAAAAAAAAGTTATTTTGTAAAAAAACTATCGAAAAAAGACCCAAAAAAAATAAAATAAAAACAAAATCAGCACTATTTTTCTTTCTTTTTTTTTTTAAGGCAAATTCAACATATTTATCACTAAGAAAACCATTAAAAATATAAAAATTTATCACAAAGAAATCCATTAAATATAAAGTTATAAAAATAATTTATTCAAGTTTTGTGCCAAAATGATAATTTTTAGAAATTTTTGGGGTCTAAATTTTGCTATATGGATACGTTTTGAGGACAACATTAACAACAAATGATTGAAACTCCGTTTTACATATTAAAAATACCTCGATTTACATGACATATGTAAAATGAGACATTTTCAATATTTTTATCGATTTTGTCCTCAAATCAGGACCTTTAGGAGCAAAATTGACCCCAATAAATTTTAAACAACATATTGGAAAATTTATCATTAATAATACAACCTTTTAGTAGTTGTTTTTTAAATAAGACAATCTTTTGATTATCCTTTAATATTACAACCTTTAGGGTCTCAATTTACAATAAGTTTTATATCAGACAAATTAAACTTACGTTAATTTTATTATAGGACGGTCAATTTAAGGGTAGCTTTAATCCTCCGTTCTTTTTTTACTGCACCATAAGGGGTTTCACGTTTGCCAATGCATTACTTTGGCTATTAATATCTTTAATTATACTTTAGTAAAAATTATAAAAAAAATTGATATTTGAAAAGTAGATTTCAAGACGAATCTAACGAGATCTCTACATGACTATGTTTTTCCTAATAGATAAATCACAAAAGATGGTCAAACAAGATTAAGTGAATAATGTAAAAGTCCTTATGGTGCAATAAAAGAAAAACGGAGGAAGTAGTTTTTATGGTAGTTGTTGACCTTTGAAGAGTTTTGATGATGATGAGAAAAGCAAACTTCAACCAGTGAGGTTTCTGTAGTGTAAGATTAGTTTGCAGGTGAAGTAGACTCAGGGAGAGGAGGAGTAATCTGAGCATATGAAAAATACAAGAGAAACAAGTGAAAGTATGAAAGAATAGAAGAAGAGTTCTATAAGGAACTAGACTAGTGATCTTTAACAAAAACACAGAGAGAAGCTTCCTAACATAAGCAGACAACAAGCTAAACTTACCAACTTGGAATGTGTTGAAGACAATAAGTGGAACTTGTGCTGCGACTTCCAGCAAGATGCTGAAGAAGAGAAGACAACATGATTCCAATCCTGTCTGCGAAGATCTCATGTTCCTGTAAGCTGTTCGATGAATGCAATCTAATGACAAGCTTGAAGACTTTTATTAAGGTTTGTGATAAATTTATTTTCTTAGAATTGTTGTAAGTATGTGATGGACTAATATGCATGAAACCTATTAAAAACGTGATAAGACTTAACAAGTTAATACAACTAGATGTTTTACAAAAGATAGCTTTATGTTTATGAAAAAGATTTATTAATGATTTTATCATGTAAAATTCGTTTTACAAAACTAAAGAAATTTACTCTCTCCTTTCTCCTCCTTCCTCTGTCCTAAACCCTAGCCTCCATTATTTTTTTTTTAAGGGGCTTCCATCAATAGTAATCAGTGGAAAGCCTTGATCCTTGTTTCATTAAAAGTTTTTTGTAGGTTTATAATAATGCTTCCTCCTTTTGGGAGAAACTTTTCTCCCTCGAAAGAAAGGGTTTCCGATCTCTTTCGAAAAACAAGGCTTTTTCGACCTCTTTCGAAAGACAAGGTTTATCTCCTCTTTTCAGGGGAAAAATTTCTTAGGTTTGAACACATGATATTAGATCTAATGGATTGTCGTTGGTGAAAATTATGCGAGATTGCAAGGATTATCAAGCTTTCGAATGCATTCAAATGAATCCGAAAGAAAACATCCTCACATCTTTACAGGATCGTTGGATGTCTCTCCAATTAGGCTGTATTTTCTAGTGATATAAGTAAGATATGTTCCATAGTACAAGATCTACTTGATGATCATACTTTTACGAAGGAAATTTTTATTTGATTCAATATGTTATGCATTAGTTAAAGTCAAATCTCTTTTGTAAATGTTGTATGACTTTTTATTAATAAATTTTTTTTACTATTAAAAAAAAGTACTTATCTTTTTCTAAACTTAATCCTTATTCAGTTTTGCAAATGATTTTATAAAATGATACATTTCTACTCAGCTAGTTAAAGGGATTTTCATTTGATTTTATTTAGTGTTTATCTTTTTAATAAAAACCCTACTTGGTGTATGAATGTCTCCTATAAATAAGGGATTTCAGATTCTGAGTAAAGGGTGAGTTTTACGCGTGAATATCTCTAGAGCACTTAAGAGTAAGTTTGCCAAAGTTAAGATATTTATCATATTAGTTTCGGGTTTCATGTGTAGCTTTCCATCCGATCACATATTAGAGTTTAACTGTTTGTGTTGTTTTAGGATTTAGGTATGACTTTATATTGAAGACACAATGAGTGAGCTTCGTGTGTGAAGCTGTGAAATTTGTACTCTAGGAGTACTATATGGAACTTAAGTTAGGGACTTAGGTTGACTAGGAATCAGGTAGCAAGTTCAAGTTAGAACTTATGACAAAGGTTTGATTATAGTAAGTTATAACTAGCTAGGAGTGTTTAGCCTATATTACAGTGAATTGGTTGTGTGTTTAAAATCCCTTATGGTTGAGGTTTTACTTCCAATAAGGCCATGTAAGGTTTCCTCATAAATATTGATGTGTGTTTTCAAGCTCTTATAAGTTTTGTTTTAATTTCCACGAAAAGTAGGCACTTATGAACCCACTACAATTCACCCCACTCTTGTAGTAGTTCATCACAACTAACTATATGTTTAACCCCTTTAAGCGTAACTTTTAAATTTAATGAATTTGATTGTATTTTAATGTGTATTTTCTAATAAATACATGTTATAAATGCTAATATGATTAATCTAATACATTATAAGTATATTTTTAAGACTAAAATTTATGTTAAGAAAATGGTAATTTATATAGTATATAAGGGTAACTTTATATTATAATATAGTTTTAAGGTAACTTTGACCTTTTTTACAATAAATTAATGAAAGTCCGCCTTAATTAAGAGTTTATGTTCGATTTTAAACAAGATAAAACCGGATATGACATGTTAAACTTATCATAGGCCCGAGCTATACCCCAGATCACTATAATTTGTAAGTTAGATAAAACTAAATTTAAAAATGTAGTGTTCAAAAATATTTAATTATAAGTGTATAAAAATATAATAATTAATTAAAGATTAATAGGTGATAGTTTTTATCTATTTTAATTTACTTAATATAATAATAAATTTTTGTAAATAAAATAATAATTACTTATGTAAATATTACAGAGTACATTGTATAATTTCTTAATTGTCATCAAATCTAGAAAATTAGCATATATGAAATCAATAGCCATTATTAGTGTATGATAAATGTCTTAATGTGCAATTAATTAGGAGTTATATTATAAGAAAAAATTAAGCACAAAGGTTACACATATGAAGAGTTTAGAGTAATGAATGATGACACATAGTGGTCATGTGGCATCTAGTCATATGAAAGGAACGGTGACGCCGGGCGGTTACATGTTGTTCCCCTCCAACAGCCCCCTTACACTAGACCCACAACTGAAAATTGACAGGATCTAGTCGTATCACCTAATAAAAAAAATACCTAAGTCCTCTAACTAAAGTAGACAGGGAAGTAGGGTCGAACCCACAAGGAAACAAGTCTTTCTATTCCTAAATAATTAATATAATCTAAATTATCAAGTAACCAAATTATTTTTAAGGGTAATAAAATAAGGTAAAAATAAATAAATAAAGCTGATAAAACTATGGAGAAATCGATAAAACAAAGCGTAGGATCATATGTTCATCAATATATAATATTCCAGTGTAAAACATAACAATTAATCATCAATGCATTAATTAACCAGATCATAATGGGTTTTCTCTACGCATTACAATCACAGAATTAATCTGCCGGTATTAAATCGCATCTCTCGAATCTTGACTTCACACTTTATAAATTAACCAGCCTATTGAAACTAAGCCTAAACATCAATTATCATCTGTCGAATCTAGAATCAATATTGCATAACTCATACAATTAAGCCTGGACAAATCTAATTGCATAGCATTAAATAAATCAATAGAAAACTAATCAAGCATTGACAATTAACAATAATATATTACCCCTTCATATTTTTTAAGAATCCCAAGAAACCTAGAAATTAAACTACTTACACATAATTAAATCTAAATTAAACAAAGCAGTAAAACAAGACATGATCAATCAAAGCAATTAAATTACTAAAAATAAAAGGGGAAGAAATCGTTACCAAAATAAATGGAAATATGAAATTGCATAAAACAAAATTGTTGCAAGAACAAAAGTATTAACCAAAAGCTTAAAAACTAAAATCTGGAAATTAAATAATGGAAAGACGTCCCCAATCTCGCTTAACAAAACTGTACTTATACTTCAGCTAAAAATCCTAAGCTTAAACAAAGATTAAAAATCGCTAAACATCCTTCAAAACACACGTGCCTGGTCGGTGCCATCTTGCTTGGCCGGGCCCACCTTCGAGCGATGGCCTTCTAACATCGGGCGCACATCAGGGAAGAGGGGTGCTTCCTTCTATTTGCCTCGCCTAGTCGGGCGCGCCTCAGGGCGAGGACTTCCTCGGTCGGGCGAGCTCTTAAGCAACATGGATTCCTTTGATTGGGCTATTTCTTGGCCCAATCCGCATTTCCTCATCGGGTTTTTATAAATTGGTCTAATGCCTCGAACTCTTCTTCTTCACCAAGCCCTTAGTCACCGGTTTGACTACTCCAACGTGGTTTTGGGCTTCGAAATGGGGTCATAGGGATGCAATCCTAATCTAGTGCTCATAATGGATCCAATAAGTCTGGG